TCTGGCTAAAGGTTATCAAATTTATTGATAAAGAATCGGCTTTAGTTTCACCAGTTTCTGTGTTTTCTACTTAAATTTCTGTTTTCATCCGTTAATTACTTGCTTCTGCTTTCTTTGATCAACTTGTTCTCCTTCAGCCTTAAAGTGGGAGCTTGGATGTCACTCACTTGAGACTCACCTCCCTTGTTTCCTATGATGTTTATAAACCCCCTCGGCGCCGCTCTTCATCTTCACTTAGTTCCCCATATGTTCTGCTTCTCTCCTGGTTACTTGTTTGAGTCATGAGTTATTTAGAAGTGTATTGTTTCATTTCTAAACATTTGGAGATTTTCTAGAGATCTTTCTGTTACTGAATTCTAAATTCCATGTGGCTAAGCCACACTGCCAGTGTATTAGTCCCTTTTGAATTGTTGAGTCTTGTTTTGTGAGCCAGCACTAAGGCCTACCTCAGTGAACATTCTGTTGCTGGGTGGAGCGTTCTGTAAATATCATTTGGGCTCGTGTTGTCTCCCTGAGGGCAGCACCCCTAGTCCAAAAACCTAAAATCCAAGATCCAAAACGTTTTCAGGGCCATGGCTTTGGATTTCAGAGAGTGTCAGATTTTATATTTCTGGATGAGGGATGCTCAACTGGTAGTGACCCCAAAAATCCAAAACCTTGCAAACTGACACATCATGGGTCCCAGCCATTTTGGATAAGGGATGCTTAACCTATGTTGTGGTTTAAGTTTGTAGCTCAGGCTGGCTTAGAGCTGGTGGCATCCTTCTGCCTCATCTCCAGGTGTTGACAGTGCGCGAGTGCCGCCACTCCTGACCCGGGCTTTGAGTCGCTGCTGTTGTCCTTGTTTTATTTTATTTCATGTTTAATGAGTGTGTTGCCTGCATATGTACAAGTGCACCCGTGCTGTGTGATGCCTACGGAGGTCAGAAGAAGGCATCGGATCCCCTGGAACTGGCGTTAGAAATGGATGTTAGCCGCCATGTGGGTGCTGGGAATCAAACATAGTCCTCTGAAAGAGCTGTCAGTGCTCTTAACCACTGAGCTGTCTCTCCGCCCTGTTGTTATTATTTTAATCCTCTCT